TGATCCCTGAGTCAGGAAGATACCCTGGAGAAGAAAATGGCAACCTGGTCCAGTATTCTGGCCTGGAAAATCCCATGGACAGAGGAACCTGGCAGGCTACAACCCATGAGGTCACAAAAGAGTCGGACATGACTTAAGACTAAACAATAAGTACAACAATCCTATCCTTTAAGGAACATAATGGCTACCATTGCCTGAGAAAGTGAACTCCTACAGAGTTAGAGACAATTTTTAAATAAATCTTTGTGTGTTGTGCCTTAGGAATTTAATAACCAAAAATGATTATGGGTATTTTGAATTTTTGCACTCTATCTCACTCAGATAAATTGTGAAAATATTTCACATAAATAAAGATCAGCACTGTTTTAAAAGAAATTTAATGAAAATTCATTATTTAATCCTGTGTTTTAACATTTTGCTTTCCATCCCTTCGAAAACACTGCTTAATAAAGTCTAACAAAGAAAGAACTCAAAAGCATCTAAATGGCCCTATCTCCAATGCTCACCAATACTCCATTATAGACAATGTAACTCTCACAGTGAAGAGAGTTTCTCATACTGAAGCACAAAATAGTTCTTATCAATCTATTTATGTTCTTTTTCATTAATATAAGTCAGAAAGGTATGGAGAATTCAAATATTTAAAACCTTCTGAAAGGTGAAAAACATTACAAACTCAGAGGATGAACTGGAATTGAGAGTAAAATTGATTATTCTCATCCAGCCAATATGGATGAAAATCCAGTATAAAGAGTACAAAGAAAGTTCAGGATGGGGAACACATGTACACCCATGACTGATTCATGCCAATGTATGACAAAAACACTACAATATTGTAAAGTAATTAGCTTCCAATTAAAATAAATAAATTAAAGAAATAAAAAAGAACTTCCCCTCAGAAAAGTCACCTTCTGAGAACTCACCCTAACTCTCCTCTTTCTCTTTGCCATTTTTCCAAAAATTAAAAAAAAATAGCTTTACAATGTCAATGATATTATGCAGAAGTAAACAACAGGTCAGTGAAGCAGTTATGAACTTAAAGCAAAATATAAAGTATTGTCAGTGTATCTTAAGGTTTATTTTAGTCTTTCCAGGGTCAGTCACATTGACAGAGCAGGTGACATTGTAAAACAATGGGTCAGAGTCTAAAATCCACACACCAAAGTAGTGCTTGAGTTTGAAGACATGCTTTAATATTTCTGACAAATGAAGGCAACATCCTCTAGTGACTTTTAAAGATTTCAAGTGATGGGATGCCATGTTTGAGAAGTCTCCAACTATGCAGAATGATTTGTTAATGCTTTTCCCAAAAGTACACTGAATACCATCAGCCAGAGTCTGAAATAAAGGTTTTGCTGGAGGGTATCCTGCCCACACATGACATTTTTATAAGTAGCAAGATTCCAAGACAAATTGTTAACTAATCAAAACCTGGCATTTTCAATAAATGTAGTATTGAGCCACAAGGTAACACATAACTAAACTTGTATACTGGAGGAATCAGAAAAAGAAGAGTACAGAAACCTAGATCAATACTCCTGCTTACAAAGTATAGAATTCACTTACAATAAACCTGATGTTCTGAGATAAAGGGTCACAAAATGTTAAAAGTCAAGATTTCTGTCATCATCCTCGTTTCATAAGGGAAGTCATTCACTTTATTCCGAAATTTTCTTAAAGACATATACCACAACAAGTAATCCATTTTTTCCCATAAAAGTATTAGGGGATTTTATTGGGTTGGCTAAAGTATGGCTTTCTAAATAGTATTTTTAAATATTTAAAGTATTAAAAATAGAGCCAATCAGTTAAACTTGTCAAAACTCAGAAGGTAAAGATTTGGAATATATATTTATCTGTCATATATACACACATATATATTTAGAGTACATGCGTGACTTTGGCTATTAAGAATTTTAAAAAATAGAGCAGTGAAATAGTACTCAATAGTTGAACAACTTCATATTTGAACTCAACAGTTTATTTCTGTGGGCATAAGTTGCTAGTGAGTCTGGAAAACTGCAGCATCTCTGATTATTAAGGTCTCTCCACCTTTGGTAACTTATCCAAGTAATTTCATTGAAATTACTCCTTTCTGGGATCCATTAAACTTTTCTTTACCAAATGTCTACAGAAATTCCTTTGCCTGCAGTCCCTGGCCAATTTGATGGATAATATCTAAACAACCTATGAAATGTTAACTTTTAGAATTTTTTTTCTTTTAAAACCACTTTAACTTTTAACTTTCCGATGAGAGAGAAAACCAGTAAAGGAAACATAGGGCAGAAACTGAACATCACCTAGTAGTATCAGTGCAGTTTAGCTGGTTGAAGAGCCCAGATGTTGTCACCTGGTACTGTCAAAGGACTCTAAAGAAAATACTTAAGTTTAACTTCTATAGCATTCGCGGTACTTCCAAGTCCCATTTCTTGTGTACTCCTCCCACTTTCAAACGTGTGTGCCAATTCATGTTCCTGTAGAGCAGGGAAAAACACATTTCTTCTGCCTTGGAGATCGATATAGAGAAAGGCATCAGATGTCAGTCATATCAAATCGTCCAGGAAGACGCTCAGAAATGTGTGCCTTTTGTGTCTTCTACTTTTATTTTTCCAACCCCTTACGAAGTTTGGGGATAGAACGATGCCTGAGTCCCAAAGGCATTAGCCTGACACTGTGCTATTCCTCTCTAAGAACCCCACTAACTCCCCAAAGAAATGAGAGTTTTGTGAACTCCGTTTCACAGTGCAGCCCCCTAACACAAACACAAGAGTTGGGATGCAGAGGGGGTCAAAGGAGAAGGAGGGAAGGGGGTCGACAGAAAAGACTCACCGCTCCTGCCAGTTCCTCAGTCAGGCACAAAGTAACCAGAAGCAGCCACAACCTGAAACGGGAGGGAGGGTGAATAACATGGGTTTTCTCCGGGATCCTGTGCCTGTCCATAGACACCCGACCCCTTTTTGCTGACTACCGCCACTTTTTCTGCAGTGGCAGAAGTACAAGTATAGTGCAGGTCCGGCAAAGTAGCCCAGAGTAAGAAAGAGGAGCGGAGCTCAGGATAGCAACGGCTCACCCAGGGTGCATGCTTGCGGCTCCTCCAGAGCTGGGTCCCGGGAGACTGCTAAGCGGTTCCGCGGCCCCGGCTCATCGGGGCTCCGCTGATGCTTGGCGGCTGTTTCCTTGTTCAAGAGGATGGGGTAGGGGAGCGGAGTGGCTCACTTAGGAAGAAACTGAACTCAGCTTCTAGATAAAAGGTGCCCCAAAGGGAAACACGATGAGCCGTGCCGGCTACAACTTGCCGCACTCAAGGGATAGTTCCATGCACCAGGAGAGGAAGGAATGGAGGGGAAGGGGGCGGGGCTGTCTGCTGTCAATCATCCCCCTACCTTGGGCAGCCCGTTGTCTTTCCCACTTTCAGGCACCTCCACCCATAACATTCCCACGCATCTCCACAGGCCCACAGACCTATACACTAAGACACTTCCTTAAACCACTAAAAACTGTTACACATACACAGATTAAGACATACAATTCCCACAGAGACAAATGGGCCCCAAAGTGTCCTTGCAGTCTTGCTCAAATGCATACCAGTTACTCTAATTGATTGTACACGAAGTTCTTGGGGTGGTGGTGGTAGTGGTGGTCTCTGGAGTTGTAAACCTACCCTTACTTGAGTGGAACCTAAGGATAAGTGGGCCCGCTTGAAACAGGTCCAAAGCCCTGAAAGACTGTAAAGTGGTCAATTCTAGGGTCTAAAATAACAACTGTTTTGAAGAATTACTCCAAGGAGTTCACATAAAGTATTTTCTGGGCCTGTTGGTGCTTTAAAAAATTCTGTATATCAGAATTACCAAAGTAACGTTCAAGTCTACTTTATTCGGGAGACCAATTCAACTTCCATTAACACCATACAAATATTTCCAATTAAGCATTCATGTTAGTGTTTAGGAAAATTGCACTAGTTATTTAATTCCCTGCCTTACATCTCTCTGAAAGACAACTGCAATGAGTCAATACCTTTTATGCTAGTCAATATAAGATGTAAATATTAATTATGGCATTCAATGTAGCTAAATAAAAAGATATAACTGTATTACAAACATCCAACCACATAATTACTAAATATCTACTGAGCGCCCCCAAATCTTATATGTACATAACATGCATAAAGTCTTCACACACTTAAGCTTGTTAATCTTAATTCTTCAGTTGTAAGCATATATTTAATTATATAAATATATTCATATATTTCTCATATTTACACATTTTCTGTTGTATATAGAAACTCTGTCCTGCGAGCAGGTGGAAAGCAAACAACCCCAGCAGCCCCCAGAGCAGCCATCAAAATTTGTTTCTAATCATTAACAATAAAAAGGAGGGTTTCTCTGAGATTCCTCCGCTACAAAAAATAGTCCCAGCTCAGGTCTATTTGCAATTGGCTTTGGGGCTCACATCACTGAGAGTGGAACTGGGCAGGGAAAAGGATTATCAACTTAAGGTGCTACTGAACGAATAGAAAACTTTCCCGGTGGGACTCGGGGTGTGCAGTCAACTGGTCTGGAAGTTTCCCTCCTCCAAATAACTGAGCGTCACTCCCTCGCAGGTTGCTGGTGCAGAGTAAAGCTGTGGCGGAGTGATCCTGAAATTCCCCAGGGCTGGTGGGGAGGGGGCGGTGCGGGGGAAGAGAGGGAGGAAAGTAGATCTGTGGGACTTGCGCGAGGAAAAAGTTTGCAAGTCTGGACAGAAGAGACAAGTGCTCCCGAGAGACCGGCTTTGGGGAGGGGAGGGGGGGAGGGAAGACTAGTTGCTGGTGCTTCATTCCCCCACCCCCACTCTTAAAAAGCTTTTCTCCTCACCCAAGACGACCGGCACAATTGGGACACCCTCGCTGTCCCTCTCCAGCTTTAGCTCTCTCCCTATAAACCCTCAAGATTATGTCAATTGGTCAGAGCCAGCCAGGGATTTCGTGCGGGTGCTGAAGGAGCTGCGGGAGCTGGAGAAGAATGAAACTGCGTGGAGTCAGCCTGGCTGCCGGCTTGTCCTTACTGGCCCTGAGTCTTTGGGGGCAGCCCGCAGAGGCTGCGGTAAGTCCTTCCTTCTACACCCCCACCCCCCGCCCCGCCACCCCATCACCTCGCTTTCACGCTGAAATCACTTTTTGTCCCTTTTACCTTCCTTTCTCCCGGGCCTTGGCTAGGGGAGTCAGATATGCCTTCAGTTTAGGAAGAAACATTATTTACAACGCTAGTAACTCAAGCCTTCTCAAGTCCGAGGGAGAGGTTTAAGTGTTTAAAAATAGGGCTGCTTGCTTTCCTGCGACTAGTTGCTCTGGGGGCAAAAGCAGAACCTGAGGAGGAGGACGCATGTTAATAGATCACTAGGCTCTGGTGGATATTTAAAACTTTTCCTCCCTACTCTCCACCCTCGAGGGTTTCCGTACCTGCCGGGTAAGCTTTTCCACTAGTTGTACCCAATCCACGCACTCTTTCAACTTTGTCGATAGTTTACTATTTTGACTTTTCTAAAATCCAGCTTTCACCAAAGTGTTAAGCGCGCCCCTGAAGTTCTTTCCTTTTGCCTTTTCCTTAGGCAACAGGAACCTCACCTCACCTCTAGTCAGTAAAGCCTCTGTAGTCTGTTTGACATCTTGTTGCAAATGATCAGGTAACATGCCAGGAATGGTTTCAGGCTTCAGGTCTTCTTCGTCTCTCTCTTTTTTTTTTTTTCTTTTTACAAGTTCTAGGTTTTCATTCTTTATTTTATTTATTTATTTTTTTGCTTACTAAGGCACCTGAAACAAATTGAGAGTTTGCCCATCACCTATTTAAAGGAAAAGGATTATCTTTTTCAAAGGAGAATGAGTGTTCTGGTTTAAAGGAGAGCGAAGCAGGGAAGTGAAATGAAAGAGCAAAAAGTTCCATTCAGTTTTAGGAATGTAGAATTAAAATCTTAATATATCTCCTATAAGGGTGTCTAGGTAGTCCCACCCAGTATCCTTCTGGGGGTGAAAGGCAAATCTAAAGGAATGAATGACTTTGTCAGAGAAAATGTTCTTTAGCCTAAAGTCATCCTTAATTTCACTTAACCTCTAAATAAGAATTAAGTGTGTGACAAATTATTGAAAAGTTATGTTTGAGTGAACATAATAGGTGGTTTTAAAAACACTTTAATATGAGATCACGGCTTAGGCCTTCACATGGTTGAGTGACTGTCAATTCTTTATATGCAACTGCTGTGTTATAGCTTCTATGGGTCCACTTGTAAGTTACCTCTAGCTGTTCTTTACACTCAGAATACCTCAGGTTACATTGCCTTTCTTCCATCCTCCAGAATGTGTGTACTAAAGGTGTGAAAACTAACTTTCATATTACCTTAACACAACTTAATGGCAACTCTCCTTAAAAAAAAAGACCATGTATATCAATTATTTTTAATTACACTTGCCAGAATTTTTCCTCCATCAAAGTAGACAGAGGATTTAAAATTGCTTTTATGATGCAGAGCTTCTTAATGGGCTAAGGTTTAGCCACGATGGAGGGCTACAGACCCACAATGTCTTGTTGAAAGTAGTTACTTTTAAAAACATCATCTTGGTGCTAGTGGCATTTGGCCTGAGGACAAAGATTTTGCAGATGTTTGATTAAATATTTCTCATTTTTTCTTTTGACGTTACTATTAATAAATGTGCACCAGATACCAATCATACAGGTATGCACAGCTATACTATACCTCAGTTTATATTAAATCATGTTATGTTAAAAGTGAAATTTCTTTTTATAATTGATAAAATTTGGGAGCAAGCTTGTTTTCTTGGACTATTTAATAACTGAGTGTTCATGAAGAAATTACAGTAGATACCAGGCAGTTTTTTTCTCTTTTCTCCTATATGATTTTTAAAGAACATTTTATACTCCATTTCCTTATCATTAGTATATTGTGCCTGTAATAAAACCAGGCTTGTTTTTTCTGCTTCACACATTAAAATCCTAGTTAGATGAATGTTTTAATCATCTCAAAGATATGAATGGTATCTGCTCTCCATACTAGTGCTGGGGATATTGGTGACCTGCAGAGTAAACCGGTTGGTAATGGGGCCGCTTGTTGACTGAAGTAGTCTCGTATTGGAACTTTTACACCAGGAAGAGCGTTGCTACTTAAATTGCTTTAATTTTTCATAGTTAACTGATTTCATTCTCTCTGAAGTCATGCCAAATTAGCCTATCACAAATATATGGAAAAATTTTTTTTAGGTAAAGAGTTTATCAGGTGGAATAAAACAACTCATTCCAAAAAGCTAACAATAAGGGAAGAAGGCAAATTTAGCTGGAAAGGTCAATTCTAGTGATGGAAACAATGTATTTTTATGTTAAAGTATTTATGCTGACTTTCCATTAGTAGGATGTACACTTAGATTTATGGACATGTTATTTAAACTTCTACTACTACTATGCAATTGTTAGTAACTTTGTGTGTGTGTGCAGTAGATTTAAATCTACTATCTCCTTTGTGACTAGGAGCAACAGCTTGTTAAGGGTAGCAGTGTGGTTTGTGGCCATGGAACAATTTTTCCTCTAAAGCATACTGCTCCATAGGAAGAATTTGTTGACATTGTTATCAAAACTTAACATTTTTGCATGTTTAATATGTGCCAGGCACTGTGCTAGTATGGAAATGTACATTATCATGTTTAATCTTCACAACAGACCTATGAAGTATATATTATTGTTATTCCCACTTTACCAGTCAGGGAGCTACAGATCATAGACATTAAGTAATGTGCCCAGATCACATAGTTAGCAAGTTGTGAAGCTTTAAATTTGAATCCTGGCAGTTTGACTCCAAATTCTTTACTCTTAATGACTGTCCTATACTGCCTCTTTTGTATGTGGTCTATAGGGCTGTATTTGCTGTTCACAGTATTGGGATCTCTACTACTATTTTTTTTTTTAATAAGGGGAGACACGGGAGGTGAAATGGAAAATATAATGAGGATTACATCTCTTCCTGCTGATATTAGGAGAAACATCATGGTATAATGAAAACAGCTCTGGGCCTAGAATAAAAAGATCAGAGTTTGATCTCTATATGTATATTTATAGAGAGATAATTTAAAAGTAATCTAGAAGCAATTGCTTGTTGCAGATTATATGATTTTATATAATTGCATATATAAAAAGTTAGATTTATAAAACAAGTGTAATTTGTGGTAGGTGATTATTTTGAAGAAAAATTTGCCTTATTATACTTCCAATTAGTTTTCATAATAATTTTAAAATATACTGAAATCTTCAGGAGCATGTATGTCTGTTGTGATAAGACAGAGTATGTATGTGGTAGCACAGTTTGCTTAAGTCTTATGCATGTATTTATATATTGTTATCTATCCTGTGTGTAAAAGTGTATAACTTTCTTCCGATGTTTTTACTTGGCTTTTTGAAGTATGTTTATGCAACACATGAGACTCTATCTTGAGTTAACATTGATAACTTAGTCAAGATTGTGTCTGCCGGGTTTATGCACTGTAAGTTCACTACTTTTTCCCTTTGTAATTACAAAGAAACCAGACTTTGAGACTGTATGGGGCAATATTGTGAGACAGTGTACATGTCTTGCCTTTCATCATAGTTTCATCCACTGTTTTAGCATCTGTTAAGGATTCTAACCTGAATAATTACTGCTGTGATATTTGCCAAATGGTAATCTTAAGTTTTCAAAATTTTATGTATTTATTTATTGAATTCTAATGTAGCAAAGAACTTTACCTTCTCTGATATTTGTTTTTATCTATTTGTTTATCCAGTAATTTGTTCATAGTAGTATAGACTTATGGATGCTTGTATTATTCTATGAACTTTAATGAATTATGCTATTTTTACTATTTTTTTTAATTACCCTAGATTTGGCCAGTAGAAGCCCCTTCCAGTTGGCTCCAGTGTCCTTTCAATGTGTCCCTATCATTTTTAGAGCATTCTCTTACATTCTGGTACCACAAGGTATTCCCAACTCATTTTCTACTTTCACTGCCCCAACCCTGGAATGAGCAATTTTTTCCAAGAAGCCCTGATTCTTTTTGTTGAGTAGTGGTATTTAGAGATGGAAATCTGGGTACTTGGCATGCTCATTACTACTGGAGTGTCATTGCTTCTAGGCCTTCTCAGCAGACAGAACTAGGGAATATATGTATGTATACATAGTCACATACCCACTTCTGTATTTCTTACAGAACCATTAATTTGCACTGATACCTCTCATTCCAGTCCAAGACCACAGAATAAACATACCTCTTTGATGCTATGTTATCTTACTGCTTTCTGGTACCTCTCCTCAGTCAATCTCTTAAAGACAGTCTTTAAGAGATTGCCATCTGGAGTAAGATCTAGAATCTGATTGGAGGATGTGTGACCTTTTGACAAGCAGTAACCTCTGAGCTTTAATGTCTTCCTTAGCAAAAGAGAGTCAGTGGTACACATATGTCACACATTGTTTTGAGGATAAAATGAGAGAAGTTATGTAAAGCATTTAAAATAGTACTTGGCACATAGTAAATGCTCAGTAGTATTTCAATTAGATTGCATTATTGCCATTACAAACTATTTACTGACTTGCCATTTCTTTTTTTTTTTAATATTTATTTATTTATTTGGCCACACTGGGTCTTTAGTTGCAGCATGTGGGACCTACTTCTCCCACCAGGGATTGAACCCAGGCCTCCTGCATTGGGAGTTCAAGAGTCTTAACCATTGGACCATCAGGGATATCCCATTGGTTCTCCATCTTGATTAGAGTCTTATGGACCCAAATCTTTCCTCAATTTCAGCATAACCCTTACATTCATTCAGCAGATATTTATTCAGCAACTCATAAGTACTTAAGAATTATATTCATGTTTTTCTATTTCTACTCTCATGGATATGTACTATTCGCAAAATCTTGTGCTAGACACTATAGATTAAATAAGATACAGTCCCTTCCTTCATGGGGCTTCCATGCTAGTGAGCATAGATAGTTTTTTGAAACTTTGCCTTACTATTATGTCAGTTTCTGATTTTACCCTTCTTTGAATATTTGTCATATTTAGCCTCTT